GCCATGAGCTGGACGAGTCCAGCTTTCTTTGCGACGATGTCATAAAGAACCCTGATTTGAGATTCATTAGAAGTCTCAAACAGGGCTAAGAGCTGCTGCTCATCCATCTTTGAAAGATGGGGATCGTCGAGAAAGAGCATGTCATGCTCAGTATTGAGATGCCGTAAGGCATCGGGATGCCGTACAACAAGACATTTCCAGCCCTTCTCTTTTGGCCAGAGAAAGACCAAAAGAGAGTTTTTGCCGCAGCCAGGCGGGTCCTACGAGGACCCCCGTAGGCTGGCAGCCATTGTCAATCCATTCCTTCAAATCAGGAGATAGATTGAAATCAGAGATTGACAATTAGACTGCGGCACAGCGGCGCTTCTTTGAGCGTGAAGATTGTCGATAGCGCTAAACAGGCGTTTGGCTTGCACAAGCTGCAAGCACCCTCATCTGGATAGTTCTCAAGAAGGTGCCGTAAGGCACAGTCGGTACCTTCAAAGAAGTATAAGTCAAGAAGTTTATGTTGGAGGGAAACGACTTTGCCATCTTTGATATCGGAGTGGTTAGTTATGTAGTTTCCCTCCTTACAAACATACTCAATGGCTTGCTTATAAAGCTTGACAGCTTTCTAATTGCCATGAAACACTTTCCCTTGGAAAGTAATATCCAGCTTGTCCGCGGAGCGTATATTAAACTTGCTTTGTGCTGTAAGCACAGCGTGGAAGTGAACACCACCATCCTTGTGGTGTTCCCTGGAAACAACAGATTTTCTAATTTCAGGCAGTTGGTGCTTGCCGTAGGCTGTAGCCGTTGCCCAGCCTGCTGAGCCGGTAGTACGCGGGCAACGGCGTAAGCAGCTGATCCGCCGGAGGCTACAAGCACATGGATCTTGAAGGTCGTGGAGCACCTGCTCCGCGGTGAGCTTAGGGTCAACCTGACTGTAAGTAAGGAACAATTTCCTAAGGAAATTCTGAACTTCTTCTTTTGCTTAACATCAGGTGAACTGTTAGTCAATTCATTGGGCTGCGGCCTTCTGCAGGAGCCAGTGTCCTTTTCAGGGCCTTGTGCAGTACACCCTTCCGAGCGATCTGAAGACCAGTAGGCTCGCGAAGCTTTCAAAGAAGGGCAGCCTTGTGTGTCAGCACAACAACGAGACGCGAACCCATCGGACGACCTATCTAAGACTAGGGAGATACTCGGCAGTGGGTACCTCGTACCTTTTCCTCAAACCTATACGTGTACCGAATGCTCATACGGGAAAGTGCGCTCCTAGGTTTGGAACCAGAAAGGGTTGCTGCGAGAAACATCTTCTCCTCTCATCCAGGGGGTGCGAACACACCTGCGCGAATTACAGATGACAGCTACAAGGGTGGCGGGGGAAGGAAACAGTACCCCATATCCGGGGATGAATGTAAACCCATTGAACAGGGATAATCATTCTGGTTCTGGGAGATAGAACTCACTAGCGGTGATGGACATTGGTCTGAAAATCGGGCGTAGCGAGCCCAAGTCACAAGGGCGCAAAGCGCAGCACCTATATTATCGTGGACAATAGACTACTACTCGCGCCTTAATTATGAGCGAATCCAGTCTGAACCAAGCAGCTTAAAATCTGACGGAAAAGCAATTTTTCCCGCTCTGTGCCGATCATCCACACTCAGACATCCATGCGAGGCCTTCGTGATTCGAGAACCTAAGCGTAGCGTTGGTTAGAGGGGGTTATACTCAAGATTTCCAGAACGGAGCCGTATGACGCGAGAGTGTCATGTACGGTTCTTTGAGAAGGGTGTGAATATAGACTATCCTCAGGCCCCAAGGGGCCACGAAGCTACACCCTTACTCTCCTAGTCTATGTACATTGCTTCTTCTAGGAGGTTGGCTGCCCATCCTAGATATTCCTATTTTCTACGTGATTCCGGGTTCGATTCGGTTTAGTAGAAAGGTTATTTTCTTTCTGTTCGTATATATATGGGTTCGTGCAGCATTTCCACGATATCGTTATGACCAATTGATGAGGCTTGGTTGGAAAGTATTCTTACCTTTATCATTAGCTCGGATAGTTTTTGTATCTGGTGTTCTAGTAGCCTTTGACTGGCTCCCTTAATTCGTTGAACAATTTCACTGCTAAAAAATAGATATTTTTAATTAAAAAAAACTCCATTAAATAACAGCTAAAAAACCAAATGAATTGATTGGAAGAAATAGAAAATAATAGATTTTATTCGTTCTATTAACTTCATAAATGCAGGCTTCGAGAGAAGGAGAGAGAGGCTTGGCCTCTCTTTTTGAGCGTTCCAAAACGAAGAAAATATATATATATATATATATCTATTTTTTTTATCTAAGGCCTTGTGATGATGGGTAAATCCTGCCCATGATGGATTGCGTTAATCATGAAGAACACAAAGTTTCCATGATCCGCGAAAACGAAAAAGCACGAAACATTCATATGGCAAGACGACCATCGATTCTTAAACAACCTATATTTTATACATTTAACAATTATACACTTCGTACTTGTCCCTTTGTTCTCTCTCTAAAACAATTTCTCTCTCCTCTCCAGTCCCTTCGCAATTAAAACCCTATTTTGCTCTCTCTGGCCAATAAAACCGTACTTTATCTTCTCTCAACGCTGATCTATATCGCAGATACAGGAAGGAGAAACTTACCGATTGCATGTACAGGTGCTCTCCCTCTCGCCTCTCTAAGTCTATTTATGCTTCTATAGATCTCTACGCCATTACTGAGGATTTAATGTATGAAGTTTTCGCTTTTTCTTGTTCTCTGCTATAGCAACTCTATCTTTCATCCCCTCTGCATTTTTTTAGTTTGGTTAGTGTTTTCTGACTTCTCTCACCTAATTTATTGTTTGGATTTTTTCTTATTCTTTTTGTACTTTCCCTTTGTCTGTCTATTTTTCATGTCTATTTATCTGTACAGATTTGTAATTCTGTGAGCCTTATTTATTCGTTTCATGTTTTCATTTTCCTTTTGTGTACTTTTTTTCTTCATAGATACCTCCTATTCCTGTGTTCTCCATGCTATTTGGGTTTTTGTTTGTACTTTTCTTACTTTGCTTTTCCATTTTTCTTTCTGATGTGGATTTCTGCAAGAAATTGGCTAATTTTTTTCTTTATCTTTTTATTTGTAGTGTCGAAATTTGCTATTAGGGGAGAAAAAAAATAGATTTTATGGGTTATGCTATTCTACTGTCTGGTTTCTGCATTCTTACTTCTGTGTATAGTTCTCTCCATCTTCCTGGATCTGTTATATATTTGTTTGTATATATTTGATTTTTGTATCACTTAAGTTGCTTTTTATTATTCTTGTAATTCTGTTTTCGATAATGTTTCCTTTTCAGTGATTTGAGTTTGTGCTTCACTTTGTGGATGGTAGTGATGGCAATTTCATTTTGTTCTTCAGTTTCTGTGGTTCCTGGTTTATTATACTAGCTTCCATCGAAATGTTTTCCTTTCTCTAATAATTTATTGTTCAATGAAGGTTTTCATGTATTTTGAAGATTCTTATGCGTTTTATAAATTATTGAATATAGTCAGTTTTATTAATGTTTCATGGACTGTCAATTATTGATGTGTTGCTTAGATTCTCTCAGCAATCCCAGCTTGTTTGTTAGTTGGTTTTGGAAAAAATTATTCATCTGAGCTTGGTTGTTAGTTAGCTCCGGCTAATTAGAAATATTTATTTTTCCTATTTAGGTTAGTGTGTTATTGAATTTTTTGTGCTTTTACAGACATTGTTAAAATCCTAATTTCTTGAAATCATGTTTATATATGTGCTTACGTATAGTTGCCATTTCTTGAAAATAGTTATAACTGCGAGTAGGTAAGGTTGCTATTTAGGCCCAAGCGTTGGTTCACTGCGGTTGAATGGCTTCTCATGAATGACCTGTGCAAATTCTAGGAATAAAAGAGTGAACATTACGGTGTCAGCACTGAACTCAATGGAAAGGAATTTTATAAGTTTGTAACTGCCTTGGGGTGAAAAAGGAGTTTGATTATTGGGGTGTTTGGATATCCAAAATGGGTCATATTGAGATGGGGATTTTATTATTTTTGGTGGTTTGGTTGTGGTTGAGCCTGCCTTTTGGGGATTCTTTCTTTGGTAGGTTGCCATTTGCCGCTTCAAATAAAAGAGTGAACTTTGCGGTGTCAGCAGTGAACTCGATGGAAAGGAATTTTATAACTTCGTAACAGCCTTGGGGTGAAAAAGGAGTTTGATTATTGGGGTGTTTGGATATCCAAAATGGGTCATATGGAGATGGGGATTTTATTATTTTTGGTGGTTTGGTTGTGGTTGAGCCTGCCTTTTAGGGATTCCTTGTTTGGTTTCGTATTTGTAGTTTATTCTCCAAGTTTTCCTTTTTAGTTAACATAATGACAAAACCTTCAATAACTATAGTTGTTGTCTTAGTCATAGGGATGGGTAGGGTATTAAGGTGTTTCCAAGGCCAATGTTTTTATAGTTGGATTTATCAATCAAGCACATTGGTGCTATGCGATAGTTGTTGGAAGTGGTTGTGTTCTTGAACCATTTAGGAAGCCAAAACATGGACTCTTGAGAGTCTAAAGGCTTCCTATAGTGGGAAGCACTGTCTGTACAATGCATGTCTTAGGAATCAAGATTCCTACCTTTTGGGAATTGCCCTCCGAACTACTTTGAAATGCACAATTATAAGGGAACGAGTTTTCACAAGGCAGAAGGTCTGAAGTTCTAGAGTGTCCTTAACCAAGAATCCCTTAGCTTCCCCTACTATTGGGAATCAATCTGCCCTAAACAAGGGTTCCACTTGGGATTGATGTGTTGAGTGCCCTTAATCATTCTTCTCCACAAGTATTGGAATCAAGGTCATTGAGTGCCGTTAACTAGAGTTCCCTAAGTACTGGAGTTAAGGTTTGCTGGAGTTTATAGTTTAAAAAAAGAAAGTAAATTGTTGGATTTATTAATAATGAATTTTTTTAAAATAAGACACTTATTTTGGGTTTTAGACCTAAAGAATGATGTTGAGTTTCTAAACATTCATCATCTTTGAAAAAATAAACAAGTAGAATTTATAGATGGGTGTGGTTTGTATGAGGCTGAGGCCCTAAACAATCAAAGTAAGGTGCATCTTCAAATAGTGACAGAATATGGTGTTTTAGTAGTAGAAATATTTATGATGGCCTGGAAATTTATTTTCATCTCTAAAATAAAATTTGAAGATTTAAAAATAGTGTAGATCGAATAGATCTATGAACACTTGAAACTTGACGGTCTAGATAATACATTACAAGATGCTCTATTTCCAAGACATGAAATCTATTTTTGTTCATGTCCGTACATCTTGAGGTCAAGATGATTGAATTGAGGGTTTTTCAGCATCGAAACAACCCCTTCTAGTGATTTTTTTTGGTGTGCCTTAATTTGATTGTTTAGGAGCTCGCCCTTATATAAAATTACCCCTTTACATTTTGATTAGTAATCCATTTTGAATAACAAAATGCTTCAATTTTTGTTTAAATATTCCAAGCATTCCAAAATATTTTTGCAATCATTCTATCACTAGGGAATGATGAAGTTGACCTTGTTCTGATCATCATCATCATCATAGCCTTTTCCCAATTAATTGGGGTCGGCTACACGAATCATAGTCCGCCATGCTACTCTATTTAAGGCCATACCCTCTGTGAGGCCATGAGTCCCCATATCTTTTCGGACTACTTCCAACCACGTCCTTTTGTGCCTACTCTCAGTGAGGCCATAAGTTTACCTTGTTTCAAATAATATTTAAAAATTCCAAGCACTCCATAATATTTTTGCAATCATTCTACCACATGTAAATAAAAAGTTTACCTTGAATTGGAGACTTGTTAAAGTGTGTTAGCATGATCCACTTGGGAAAATGTGTAATGGATTTTCTAATAAATAAGGTCAATATTTTGTAAAAAATGAAAGCGATATTCCGTGCTGATTGAATCATGGTTCGGTGTGCCTATGGACCTTGGGATTTGGTGCCGAGGAATCTAGATTCCAAATAAGTTAGTCCGAGATTCCTGAAAGGTGGAAGTTTGAGATTCCTAAATTTAAAGAGCCAGATTTTCTGATGATTTATTGATTGAAGCATTAAATAAAATTTTGAAGCAGAATCGCCACTTAGGGTGGAAGATTCCATTAACTATATGCCGGTCTGTCTGGGCCGCCCTTGTTCATAGGTTTAGACCATGTTGCAGTCCACTTTTAGGCATCTCTTTAAAATAAAATTATCGTACTTGTGAATGTTCAAGACATATATATTATGTATGTATACGTCTATGTCTACACGCAATGCGGCTGGTGGGTGGGCATTTCGTGTGTTGTGGCTTGTCAAGGCATGTGTATTCATGTATATGTTGCAGCACTTTCAAGTTGTATTAGATTATAGCTTGGTTGTGAAATCTCTTGCCTCTTCCATTTGCATTACTGGGTCTAGCCGTTTAGCTAACTTCTCAATCGTCACTTGATTGGTGAAACATCTCAACGCCCCCATGTGTGTGTGTGTGTATTTGACATAAACAAGTGTTAAAACCATAGTTGGTAACTTGGTTAGCGAAACAGATCAGGGGTGGTGAAATTCTGTTCCCCTCTCAGGAGAGAGATTTTTTCAATTATTAAAGCCTTCCTTAATTAAAGAAAACTATCTGTGTGGAAATGCAGATTGGTAAAGGACCATTTTCTTAAAAAGTAATTTGTTTGCATTTGAATTCAAATCCTACCATTTATAATTTAGATATCATTAAGAAGAAATAATTCATTGATTAAATACTAAAAGATGTGCACATAGAGTTGATGTGAATGCAACACAATAAAAAAATATAAACAAAGCAAATAAAACACAGGCAAGCAAGATGAGGAAGTTCGAACAGAATCAAGGGGAATCAAAGCGTGGGAAGGGACGTGCAAATCAGTAAAGACCCCTATCCACACCATCATCCATGGGGGAGTTGAGTTCTGGATTGACTGTTCAGTTCTGTTTCAACTTCTTGAAGCCTGTGGCGAGAAGTTTGGCTGAGTAATGTCTCATGATACCTGCAATGGTCTCACTTGCCTGTTGACATTGAGAGAGTAGTCTTCCATCAAAGTGTTCAATACATTATTACTTGAAGGACATTTTCTTTTTGTTTCTTAACAATATTTTATTGATTGAATTGAAACATGCAAATATAGATCATCACTAGAAGGTCATTAGCGTTTGACTTCTACTTATGTCTAAGTTTGTCATCAGTTTTGTTGAATCTTAGGACTGATTGTGTTGCTGTTCTTTGTAGGGGTGTCATTGAAGTCATTGGGTTTATAAGTACATTTTTTGTCTATTACTTGCATTTGTAATTAAATTAAGTAAAAATGTATACAGATAGATGTTACAAAGTCATCAAATGTGTAGCAGCATATTTGTTTCTCAAATGTGTAGCACCATATTGATTATGAAAACATACTAAAACTGAAAAGCGTTGGTTGGAATGGTTCTTATTCTACTAGGCTAGGGAACAAGAAAGTTTGTCTCTTTTGCCCACTGTTTTTCTGTTTCCTGTTTTGCTCACTACATTGAAACTTATTTTTCTTAAGAAGTTCAAACATGTTTATATGAATGATGTTCAGATCAATTTTTAGAGGAAGTACTCAAAACTGGGCATAATCTTCTGGCACGGGAATTGTTTTTATTCTCTGTTATTATTTAATGTTTTTCTTTTTTCAGTTTACTTGCTCAAGGTTAGCATGGTTCTTATGTGTTCTTTCCATGTATCTAGGACCTTTTGTTAAAGCCAGAAAGGGAATTCCAGAGGTGCCGTGATGAGGTATTATATTTTGGTACTTTGCTTCATTATGAGGCTTAAGCTGATACATTTTTTGATTTTTTTTTTTTTAATCAGAAGGTGTGATTCAGAGTATTGATGGAGAATGCTATTTGTCTGTAAATTGATCTCATGAAAACTCAGTTATTGGGAATTCCGGTGCATTATATTAATTAATTGCAACCATTTCTTGTGATTTGGAAGCATAGTGGTTTCTGTTTTTTCGTAAAAGAAGGAAATGAAAATGAATCTTTGTACATTCAAAGTTGATCAGCATTACTGGCTTGTTGGATTGTGCGCTTCCATTTTCTGTGTGACTTCCTGCTCCTTGTTGCTTATAGCTTCAGGAATTCTGGATGATACTTTTTCTAGAAGCAACCATCTTTTTTTAATGGAATGCGGGAATGTTATTGTACAGATGCACTTTTGCAAGGAAATAGCTGTTATTGGATTTCAGAATGAGACTTTTTGTATTGCATTCAACAAGAAGCAGAAATTCTTCTATGTTTGCTTTGTACTTGACTATTGCATAGCTCTTCTATTATATACATTTTTTCAAAAATAAGACTTCATTTGTTCACATCTGTATACGTTATTAAACTTTTTATATGGTTAATGGTCATGGCATGGATAGCCTGGCATGGATGTTTAGGGAGACATGAATCCGTAAATTTCTCAAGATAGCTCTTGGGACCTGATGCGTCGTCTGCTTTCATTGAATTGTAAAAGTTGCAAATTGGGACTTGGTTATTAGCAAAACTGAGTCAACTCAACACCTTCTTCCTTTTGGAAAAATCTTTAAAAATTGTCAAAACTATAAATAATGTTTTAACGCCTTTATGATATAAATTTCAGACATAGTACATACTGCTGTCAGTGTGCTTGTGTTTATCATACACGTTAAATATTGAGGAAATATAGATCCAAGGATTTATATGGGGAAGCCAAAGTTATTGGAGTTCAACTCAATGAAGTGGAGGTGGCTTATGTACACTAGGCAGCTGAGACCAATGTCACACAGGCACTGACACAAGTTGTGGTGCCTGGCTTGTGTTAGGGTATCGGACAGTGCAGTCCAAATTGCAACGATGAATACATTTTAGCACAAGAAAATAACTATAACAATGATATGGTATTTGCAATATTTTGAATAAAAAATATATATAAAACTTCTTATTATAATAGTATTACGTCTGTTAATTCATTAGTTGTGTGTTAGGTGTGTGAATTTGGGAACACTTGCGTACTCCCTTGAGCTAAGTTCTACAGTTCTATAGCTTTAGCAAACGGCCCAGAAACTCTTAATAAACCCATCTCCGGGGATTTGTTTGACCCCAAAATTTGTACATGCGCTCTTTGGAACTGGGGAACTATCGCAATTCTCAAGAAAGACTAAAAAATTTGGAAAATAGATTCTTTAGGAGAGAGAAAGTTCAGTGAACTTCGGCCATCCATTTTAGATCAAGTCCTTTAACAACTCAAATGAATTTTTTCTTTTCTAAATTGTTCATCTGATGATGATGACGACATCTACAAAATTGGGTCAAACAAATCCCTGAAGATGTAACACCATTTTACTTTCTTGAAATGGGTGGCTTATATTAACTTTTGCATTTTCTCTCTCTTTAAGGCAACCAGTTTCTGTTTTTCCCCCCTAGATTTTTTCATGTGCTTGTTCGCCGGGATGAATAAGGGTTGTCTATAAAATTTGGGGCCAAAACAATCCGGAGATAGGTTTTTCTAAAAGTTTCTGGGCCATGAGCTATTGGTGTGGAAATTAGCTAATGGGATTATGCCTTGAATTAAGCAACGCTTTATTTAAAATGTAAAAGATGTAGATATGGTAGAGAATGCTATGATTTGTATTAAGCTTTAATACCTTATGTTGCCTTTTTTTCTTGGGGGTCCTAGAGCATGTTCGGAGGACCCATTGATTATCATGGTTATTTGGAATGGGCCTGTTTGAAAGGTTAATTCTTGTAACCTTTCTGAGGGGCTTGGATGAGGTTTTTTTTGGAAGGGTAGAAAAGAAGGCTTCATATTTTATTGGTTAAACTGAAAAGAGATATGCAGCCCTAAGAACGATATGGCATGGTAATATGTGAATTAGCCTTATGAATACTGATCTTTGGGCCCAGTAGATTTGGAGGATTTTGGATATGGTGGGCTTGAGGGTTGCTGTCCTATTTGATTATATATTGCATGTATAGTGAAGTTTGGAGGTGGAACAGGATCAATATCTCAGGATTTGGGAAGGCAATTTGAGAGACTGCTGATGTGATCCGTAGACAGTTTACATAGTGAGTGGAGAGAGGTCTCACTTTCGATGGATAAAGTGCAATGGGTGCCCTTTGGGAGCACTTACTCTGCATTGGCTGAGTGGTTGATTTATGAGGGAGACTATTTCTGAAGATTTGATAATAATCAAATGGATGTATACATGAGGATTAATTACAGGAAAATATCCACTGCTGGTATTCAAGAATTTAGTGACATGGAACCCCACAAACACTAGGAAGGGAGGGAGGGTGGGAATGGACCCCACAGACACTAAAATGTATGGAGTGTTGGGAGGGAGGCATGGAACCCGCATACACAAACTATGGAGTGTTAGGGAGGAGGGAGGGAGGGAGAGATGGACATGGCCTACATGCATAATGCATGGAACCCCTCAGACAATAAATTCTATGGAGTGTTAGGGAGTTAAAAAACTTGACAACACACTCATGCACATTCAAAAAAAGAGGGAGGGAGGGAGATGGCTTACATGCATGTTGCATGGAACCCCACATACACTAAAAAACTTGACAAAACGCTTATGCAATTTCCAAGATGGTAGTTTTTTTGAAACCCATGGATGGCCACTTAGTTTCTAATTTGAAGCCACTCTCTCTTGCTTGACTTCATCCCTCACACCTTTAAGTTTACTCCTCACAAGTTCCATACCTCCCATGACATGTACCTTGCATTGACTTGCACCTTTTTGATGTGTATTTTGTTAGTTTTGATTTGTATTCATGTTACAAAATTCATTGAATATCCACACTTCAAAATAAAGATAAAATTCATGAATATCAACATCTCTGTGGCTATCTTAAGAAATGCCTTTTCATGCATATATCGTTAATTGAGGTCCACCCTATGACTCTTAGGGTTGTATGGGAACATGATCTGATGGCTTCCAGTGAGCGCCAATAATTGGCACTTTGCACTACATTCCTTGGATTCTCATATTTGCAATGGTTCTTGTTTTTCTTTCTTTCTTGCAAAACATTTCCCTGGAATCTTTACTCCTTGTAATTGATCATGAATAATTTCTTTTGCAGTAAGCTGCAGAGTGATACATTGAGGGAGGTGATTAGCAAGGTGGTAGGTGATGCCAAAAGAAAGCCACGTAAGTTCACCGAGACCATTGAACTTCAAATTGGGTTGAAGAACTATGATCCCCAAAAGGACAAGCGCTTCAGTGGATCAGTCAAGCTACCCCATATTCCTCGCCCTAAGATGAAACTATGCATGCTCGGAGATGCTCAACATGTTGAAGAGGTCAGTAGGGATGTTTTAGCCCAAAGAATAGAACTACCTCAAGGCCAATTTAATAAGCTATAAAGTACATTCAATCAGTTTCATGTTTCCTACCTGTAAAATCCTATTTCCTTTTCCTTTTCTCATTTTGGTTTGCTAAGCTTAGTATTTATATCTCATAAAGAAAGTGATACTTCTAGATAATTGCTTTTTCTTTTTTTTTATGCATCACTGTTTGTATTGGTATTAATATATTGACTATACAAAAACCAAACAATGGATGTGTATAATTTTCTACACAAATGGAATCAAAGAAAATAGTTATCATTCAGTGGGGTTAATGTATCAAAAATGTCATTTCTTCGGATGGGGGTTTTGAGGCAGTGTCTCCAGTGAGGAAGTCTGCTACTACATCAGAGTCTAATGTCATGTGCTTTTGGATGCACTTAGAGAGATTGAGGAATGTTGAAAATCTGGTAAAAATGGGTATCAATCTCTTGATGTAATGGGCATTTCTCATTCTCTCAGTCTAATGTAACAACCTACACCTTGTAGGCTAAACCTCTTTTTTGGTTTCCTTTTCTTTTATTTCTGTACCCCATTTTGTAATAGAGCACCCGATCTTGTGGGTTGCCTAGGAGGGCTATTTTTTGTATTACATTATGATATTTAGTAAAACAGTTAACCTTTCTTAAATAAATCTCCTGGAACGGGGTTATACTTGTTTTATGCAATTAATCACGTTTAAAGAGTTCTTCCACTAGCAAGACCAAGCCCCACTTTTTTGTCTCAATTGGAGGACCCTAACTGGGTGGGTGTCCATTCTCCTCTCCTTACTCTTATCTTCACCCCTCGTACTCCTCTCTCCATTCACTTTTCTTCCTCATATTCTCTCACCTTCCCTTTCCTTTTTGTAAGTTATCCAAGTTAGCCTGTCTACCCTCCCATCTTTTTCCTTTCTCACCCTCTCTCCATCACTATCACTCACTCATTCTTTCTCTATGACCTTTACTCTCTCCCACTATCCTTCTCACTCTTTCTATTCCTCACCCTTTCTATGACTACTCTCTCCCACTATCCTTCTCACCCTTTCTTTCTCATCACCTTTTCCCTCTCCTTTACTATACTGGTTAGATGTTTCCATATATATATAT